CCCGGTCTGGCGAGTCACCGAATAAATTCCCAGCAAGTGGGGTTGAGGGCGGGGATTATTTTTTCTCTCTGCTCCCTTCACCGCCACATGCAGCACCATGACTGGACGGTTTGGTCTGGCCAACTCATCTGCCTTTCCTGTTTCGGAGTGGTTCGCTTTTGGCGCGAGTTGGTCAAATCTACGGCCAGTCGGACCTTGAGTATCATAGTCTGTACTAAGATTGACTGGGAGATGATCCGTAGAGACTGTATGCCACGAGACTCCCATATGAGGTAGGCATCGCTATGGAGCGGATACTCGCGGTGTTTGGGATGCAAGATCAGTGCAATTAACTTCTAACTTGGATATTAATATTAGACTACATAGGCTGGACAGGAGTAATGATTTGTATCTCGGATACGGTATGAAGCCTTGTATTATTCTCTCTCTTATCTTTCCCTTTATGTATCGGCTCTTAAGAAACTCTGTTCTTCCCGATTGGCTTGCCCCCTTCGGACCCAGATGAATCGAATCATGCCTTGCATCTTGCCTCTTCCGTTGATAATTCGCTTTTCAGTCTTGAAGTCTAAATCATGACCAAAGTCTAATACGAAACCTGCCGTACTTAGCCTCTCTCTTCGCCAAATCGCGCGTTCAGATCATTCTGGCCTCATTGATTCATGTTTCAGCAGTTGTAACATGAAATCACGACTAACCTATGGAAGATCACGTTTACATCGTTCTAGAAAGACGACTTTGGGTGATTTCTATCATCAAGGGGACAAGCCCGGTTGATCTATGCCAAACGCCCTAAAGACTGTCTGGTATTTTCCTAACATCATCTAAACTTCTATAAATATAGACGAGAGGAGATAGAACGGTGAATGTTGGATTATTGACAAATACAGATCCAGACGTAAAGATCAATGTCGTTATGCGCTCGCCATCTGGTATCACAAGAGAAGAAGGAAACAAAGCGAGGCCCAGAAAGATAAGAGAAGGGGGAAAATATATAAGCACAGCAACCAGATCCGGGTACTGACGCCATGCGCTCGAGATCAAAAAAAAAAAATCAACGTCACCGCAAGGGCACGATGATAGAGGGAATCGATAATACAAGAATGAATACCCCTCGCTCCTCGAGCGAGGTAAACACGAATAGATGCTTGAAAGTGCACCAGCGATCCAACGCCCGATGCAGATGCAGATAGCGCGATGTGATGAGGATAAAAGATCGCAAACGCGCATGTAGCTCGCGCCGGTGTTGTGTATGCCCTCATCCTCGAGAAGCTCATATGCCACCTTTACCGTTCCGAGCCCCGTGTAGTTGCACCGTAATAATCATTAAAAAAAACAAACAAAAGCCAGAAACTCAATCAGTCAATCATGTACTGAAGAGGGAACCAGAGGAGGGGGGAAAGGGGGACCGTTCGAATGCTGAGAGAAGATGTAGGAGGGTGAAGAAAGAGTGTCACCAGAGCGCAAAGTAAAGGATTGGTGATGATGATTCGACGGAGAGGGGTGGTTGTGCAAAGAGAAAGGTAAGTCCTAGCGACCGATAGAGGGAGAAGATTCACCTCCTCCGCCAAGGCGATCCCGAAGGAGCTGAAGGGGTCGGCTAGGGTCCAGCAAGCCCATCATCATCTTGCCCAGCTCGTTATGCTTGATGGGTTTCGTGACGTAGTCATTGAACCCAGCACGGGCAGCATTCTCAATCTGGTCTGTCATCGCATTGGCCGACAGAGCCATGATCGGGATTTGAGGATAATGATTTCTCTGTTCCCAAGCACGAATCTCTCGACACGTATCATATCCATTCTTGATAGGCATTTGGATATCGCACTAGAAGATTCAAAGGATTAATTGATAAACTTGATAGGGCAAGGAAGGTCTTGACTTACAATGATGAGAGAATAGTAGCCTGGTTCTTTGGAAAGTACCATGTCAGTACACTCTTGCCCATTCGAAGCAGTTTCGGACATGAGCTTGATCTTGTCCAAGTATTTCAGCATGACCTGGTTGTCCATTAGCATCTCCGAAATTTGTCAACGTGTGAAGAGGTAAACTCACATCGCGGTTGGTTTCGTCATCCTCAACAAGCAAAATCCGGTAGCCCTTGTTGCCGAGCACCTCCTTGACCATCTTGGACACGGTTTTGAAGTTGTTGTTGATTTCTCGCGCCATGTCCTGATTGCGGTCTTTGCTCAGTTCACGTTTGCTATCTGGGTCAAAGATAGTGGAGAAGGCAGAGGGTTTGACGGGCTTCGGCACGATGAACACTTGCTTTCCCCTTGCGGCCAACTCTTTGACGCGGGTGCTGATCTGGCGTTTCTGATACAAGTCCGAGATTATCACGACAACAGGGGCGGTCTCCGGATCGCATTGAGACACGTGCTGGATGACCTCCAAGATGTCATCTGTCGCGGGCAGGTTGAGAACCAAGTGGGTGCAGGGAGTCCTAGATCCGGGCTGCATCATGTCCTTCCATTCGTCAATGTCCGGTAACGTCGTGATCGTGAATGGGATCTCGTATGGAACGACTTGTTCAATGTGCTGCTTGGTGGCTTTGCGAGTATTGTCCAAGGGGCATAAAATGATGATGGAGAAAGGCCCCTGCGGAGACACAGGTGGCGACCCAATTGAAAGTCTACTTGGAGATGAAGAGCCCGGACGAGGTGGCGGAACCAGACGAACTGGCACAGTTGGTGTTCCCTCCTTGGAATTGCTCTGAGGCTGGACTCTAGACGCAGCAACAGGTGGCGAGTGTGCTGTAGAAATATCCGGTGTTGGCAAAGCAGATGACGCTGCAGAGAGCGGGAACGAGCTTCTTGGTCCAAGATCAAACTCCGGCGACTCGAATTCAGGTGAGAGTGTCGCGAAATTCAGAGCTGGATTCGGTCCCAATGAACTGCTTTGTTCATATGACGTTGTCCTAGAGGTTGCCGGTCGTCTCGAGATAGTGGAAGCCTGACGCAGTAGCGAGGGCCGTTCGGATGGCGATGGAGGCGGTGGAGCATCAACCTTGACATTGAAGGAAAACTGGGCCCCTTGGCCTTCTTTGCTACTCGGGGTGAGCTTGCCACCATGCATTTCGACAAGCTGCTTCGACAAAAACAAGCCCAAGCCGCTACCAGCATGTTGCTGGGAGCCGTTCTCGCCTATTTGACTGAATCGTTGCATGAGACGCTCGGCGTCCTGTGAGCTAAAACCTTTACCAGTATCCACGACGTCGAAATTCAAAAATGCTTCGGTGTTCTTGAGTTTCCCCGAGGTTTCATTGGAAAGATTGCAATAGATGTAGACCTCACCGTGCGCGGTGAATTTGACAGCATTGCCCACTAGGTTGATGAGAACTTGACGGATCCGGAACCGATCGCCAATCACCATGGAGGGGACGTCTGCCTCCATCAAGTAGTTGATCTCCAAGCCCTTGTCGATGGCTCGCGAGGCGACAGTATCAATCACATCTTCGATCATCGACCGAACGTGGAACCAGGAATTGACCATCGACATCTTGCCAGCTTCAACGCGGGAAACATCCAAAATATTGTCAACCAATTCTCGGAGATTGGTGGAGCTGTTTTGAATGGTATCAAGCATTCGTCGTTGATCGGTGTCAAGCTGGGTGTCCAAGATGAACGGAATGGTGCCGAGAATGCCATTGAGAGGGGTTCGGATTTCGTGAGACATGTTGCTGAAGAACTTCGTCTTGGATTCCATCTGATTATTGAGCTGGGTCATTGCCTTATTGAGCTCCCGCTCGAGGTTCTTTCGGTCGTTGATGTCAGTACATGTGCCGTACCATGAGGCTTCCTCGCTACCGAAACTGCCGGTCTCAACTCGGACGAGGCGCACGAGATGCCACCGGAAGTCACCACCCCTGGACCGCAGGCGAATCTCAGTGGAGTAGAAAACACGTCCATTCTCATCCTTTTGCAATGAAGCCACGCCGCGTCTCACAAGTTCATCAAGTGCAGAGGAGACTCCATGGTTTTCGGAAGGTGAGCGTGCCTGTCCGCCATCTGTCGTTGATGAAGCTTCATCGCCTTGGGTCGCTAGCATCGTTTGCGTGGCAAGCCCCCCACATTTCTCGAGATCATTGGGGTGGACATGCTTCGCGAAGCCGAGATTCAGGGCCTCTTCGAGGCTTTGCCCCGTGTACAAGTTCCACTGCTCGTTGACGAAGATCAATCCCCGGTTCTCTGTGGCTTCGAAGACAACCTGTGGAATTGAATTGGAAAATGCTCGGTACTTCGCGTCAGTGGCAAACTTTTCCCTTTCTTGAGTCGCTTTCAACTCAGCACAATGCTGTTCGTGAATATCAAGGAAGGAGCCAATCCAGTACAGAACCTCACCCGTCGACGACAACAGAGGGTTCGCTCGAAAGATGAACCACCGATAAGCAGTCTCGTCGTTGAACCGTCGTACGCGAACCCGTTCAGTAAACTGAGATCCCGTACGTAGGGCATTGGACCACTCGCTGGATACTTGATCCCTTTCACTGCTGTGGATATTCTGCCAGGGATCTCGTAATCGCTGCTCCTGGGGTTTACTCCTCCGAAACGCGTCAAACTTGGCATTAGTCCAGATGACTTCGCCGCTTTGAGGCTTCGCCAGAAAGATATGAAGAGGAACGGAATTAAGCATTAACTGCGCAATTGTGTCTGAGAAAGGACGGGGTATCTCTCGCTGAAATTGGGCATAAAAGGAATTCGTTGACCCTTGCCGTGATGACTGCTGAGTTGGAGACAAGACTGATGGCGGTCGCATCTCTTGCAATGGTGATGCGACGGCTGAAGGTGGATCTGGACCATTGTTGCCCTCTTCCGCCGCACCAGCTTTGCCTGTCAACCTGCCTGGGGATGTTGGGGTCGGGGACGCGAGACTGGACTTTGATTTCGAAAGACGGGATCGCTGATTGGGAAGATTGTCACGAGCCGCCCTCGTATGTTGGACATTAAAGTAACTGTCCGTGTTATCTCCAGCACGAGAGATTAGGGCTGGAGATTGAGTTGCCGAATTCAACATGACCTGACCAAGCTCAAATCCAGGCGTACCAAGGCTGGATATGGCGGGACTGAATTTGTTCGACGATCGATCGCTAGGACTAGCAATACTGGCCTGCGCAGACATGGAGCTGTCATCGCCAACTGAATAGCTCACATGACCGCTAAGACCCGCCACGAGCTCCAATTCACTGCTCGCATCCGAAAACGTGCCACCGAGTCCAAGAAGGTGTCCGTACCGAGGAGTGTCCACTTTGGATGTCAGTTGTCGCTCCAGCTGACTATATTGTTGTGCAAGACCAAAGGATGTTGTGAGGTGCGGCATAAGGTGCGCGAGGGATTGGCGAAGATTCGGTGGATATGGCACAATTGTAGAGAGCATGGAGATGATGGCCACCGGAAACCTCAAAGTCGAGTGAGAGCCTTGAGTCACATGGCCACCATATATCAAAGGTATGTGGACAACCGTCTTCGAATAGTCGATGCCGATGGCCTCCAAGGGTTGCGAGTTGGAGTAATCATGGTGAGGCGGGTGTTTTGAGAACGCACCTTCGTCGACAGTGTGACACGTGAAGAAAGGGTTTTGGTCCGCATGTGTTCGAGGAGCGGGTGAAGGTGCCGGGGATTGCGACCAAGGCGACTGCGGAACTTGCTCATATTCGTCATACTGCCGAAATCCAGCTACGCCAAAGCTTATTGGAGGTGCACTCTGCCCATGAATAGTAGACGTGTGTTGTTCGGGACCATCGGCATTTGGGGTCATCTGAACGGTCTCGTTCGGAGTCCGGGGTAAAATGTTTCCGCCCACTTGGTTATCAATTGTGTCTGCGGAGTACTCACGGGTAAGCACAACAGGGGTGGTCCGTCCGAATAGCTTGACTACCCCAGCCCGCTTGACCAGAGGGTCCGACTCCACCTCCAGTGGCCTCGGGATCGGGAATACGGCGTGTCGCAATGGGGAGGCCGCTGTATGCGGTGGGTCGTTCAGTTCAGACTGTGCGGTTGATTGTCTTTGGCTGCTCGAAGCCACCGTCGTCTCCGCCAGACTGGACGTTCCGGCGATACGAGCGTGCTTTTTCTCCAACTTGAGAGGAACCTTTGGAGTCTGCTGGTGGCGGTCCAATTCTGAAGTTTGGGTCGATCTTTTACCGAATCCAAACCCAGCAAATGAGTGGCGCGATTCCAACGGTGGGCGGGCGGATATAGGACTCTTCAAGTTGGGAGCCAATGATGGAGCCTGATCTTGAGAGATTTCATCATGATATGGTCGGGTGCCAACAGTCGACTCCGACAACGTGCTGGCGGGAACCGTAGATGTCTGCGCATCCTCAGGCATTGATGTTACATTCTGGTTGAAGATTGCTTTCTGGCCCCAGGGGACATTCTCAAGGTCAGTACGATCACCTGGAACGGCTAGTGACACGCGCTCTGCGCCATAATGAGCTTGTAGGATTTCAATCAGATTAGACCACCAAGCTTCCAGTCCCGGGTCCGCATTCAATTTGAGGGATAAATCGTATAAGCTGGGAGTCGGGAATTCGGGATTATCGGCGGGGTGACTGCTTTGGGGCGGCAGAAATAGAGGCTGTGCGTTGCGGGTCCTCGGGGCAGGCTGCTGGTCCTCGGAAGTTTGTGATACCGGTGTCGATGATCGAAGCCGCTCCGAAGGCAACTTCAACCGAAATTGACCCTGGCGGCCTGTTTGCTCAAGCTCGGATTGCGTGGTGGCTTGGTTCTGAATCCTTGGGAAGGGATAGGAGGGCGTTTGGGAAACCGCGTGGTCTGTAGATGTTGTGCCATAACTATCGTCAGCCTTGATCGTCCCTCCAGATCCGACCGAGCCCGACGATGGTTGAATAATTGTGGGTGGAATTTCCGTGGTGGCGCTGGATAGTCGACGTTTCTTTGGGGTTTCGTTTGCATGGCCAGAAGCAATTTGATTCGAGGCCGAAGTATGACTTTGGTGTTGCTGCATTTGCTGATAAACCAACAGCTCCTCCATCTGCCGGCGCAGTTCCTTTAATGTTTGCGAACTCCGTCCCTGTTCTTCCTGTCGCTCACTTTCCGATCGTGTGTCTTCGGTAATCGGTGTCAGGCCATTTTGCTGATCCGCAGAGTCTTCCCGTGAGAAATGCATGCGAGGTGCTGCTTTCGATGAGCGATCCACGCTGTTCACGATACCGTCCATCGATAACTTGCTCGCATGATTATGATCGGCGATTTGGTAGCTCGACAGGGACTGGGCTGGCTGCAAGTGGGGAGGTTGAGGCACGGCCACGGGCGACACGGTTTCCGTTGGTGAAGGCAATGGAGGGCTTCTCCTGCTATGCACGTCTCCCATTCTCGCGCCTCCACCGATCCGTCCAAAAAGCGATTCAATACTCCTGAGCAATACAGACGCAGGCGTCAAGTCGGGTGATCATGTCTTGGCCAAAGCGATCCGTCTGGGGAAGCCTCTTGGGGCGTGGAGGGGAAAAAGGCGAGGCAGCCGATATCGAAAAGCAAAAGGCGGAAGTCGATGATTATAGGTTGCGAAGGACAGGCGAGTTGGATCGATTTAGAATCTGGGGGATTTCGAGACGAGGTAATAAGGTTCGGGCGGTGTACTGTCAAGAGGAGATATGAGACGAGATGGGAGGTGGTGAATGAGAGGGAGTCAACAATCGAGCGGCGTGGAGTGGTTGTTGTGTGGTTCTGGGTGATGGTGGGTGGTTGGGGGTGTTCGGGGATCGAGGGAACAAGCAAAGCGTCGTGACTACTCTGGGAAACCGTGGAAAGTCTGGAAACTGGCGTCAGTACCCGCCGGCCGAACTGCGTGGGATCGCCCAGTGGATGGAAGGAGGGAGGAAAAAGTGGACTCTTTCGCAGATGGTCCGTCTCCGGGGGGAAAGGTATGACGTAGCGTGCCCTGGAAATTTTTAAAATAACCCTTTCACGCCCTGCTATGGACAGGCTCCGCTTACGGTGCCTAATGTGAGTTCGGTCAGTGGGAAATAACAGGAACATGTTCAATCGATAGACTGCGTTCGAGTCAACCACACGGCTACATAACTATAAAAATTTGGAAGGCATCTACAGGTACGCATGAATTTTTTGAGAGTATCGAAGTATTGATGTACTTAAGACGTTACTCCGTGCGGTGAGGGCCGGGTCAGATGATCAGCTGATTAAACAACCAGCGATGACGACGTGCCTGTTTACCGTTCAACGTGCCACGAGGCATTCCATGTATTAACTACGTACCACAACGGTCTTCTTGTGTTATAGGATACTTAGCCTATATCTGACAGTAGATGTCGCATCATCCTCGATCCTGAAGCAAACCTTCTTCTCTTAGTGTACGAGATTCACCACTTGCTTCCAAATTAAACGAGAACGAGAGGGGGAGAGGAACCAAGCCAAGAGCCTTGCGGTCCTCTCTCTCCCTCTCTCTTCTCCCCAGTCCAAATGTCAATCCTGCCTTTGCTCCGGTGACTATCTAGCCGGAACTAGACCTATTATTGACCGTCTTGATCGAATATTACTCGATAGGCCTTGAGCCTGGGGCCCAATGATCTCCCATGCCTCCGTCTCCAGCAGTCGTTCATGCGGATCAGCTCGCGTGTAATAGTGTATGTACTAGCTACCACAAGACTGCGCAGTCTTCGTTGACCAATCGAAATACCGTGAGTGGTATGGAACGTGATGGGTATACCAATTAGGTATATCCACAATGTACCTTGTATTTCTCTGTCCGCAAGATAAACGCGCCCTTTTGTCACGATCGACAGCGTCCTGCCTGAAGCAAGGTCGCAGTGGGGTTGGAAGGGAACCTGACGAGATGGTCTAGACTTGGAGGAATAGGCACCGGTCCATGGTGATCAAGCAGATCGTTACCAGAGGCACATTTTAGTTAGCTCGCGAGTTTCTTCGAACAAGCTCCTCGGTCGGGAGGTGGCTGCACCGAGAGAATCCTTGGGAAAACGCAGCGATCGATTTGCCGTCGCGCATCCACCAGCCGCTTCCGACCCCAGTGCGCCTCGAATTCCCGTCCAGTCAGCAACCATCATTAAACTAGAAGAATAATCAGGTCGAGGGTATTTTTGCCCATACTGTTCTCCTGCGGGTTCGTGGCTTATGGGGAAAGCCGCGTCCTAAGACGAGGCGTTCCCCCTTTTACCACACTAACCACTGACTTGGCTTAGAAGTCATCCGATCTCCACGGATTGCGGCTGATCCTACTTCGTCGTCATTCGGCTTATTACGTCAAATTTGTCCGATCGGTTAGCAGATTCAGACGATGCGGATACGAGGGATTCGTTAGATTCTGGATCGAAAGAGGTCAAACGACAGAAAAAAGAAAGAGGCGGTTTTAGAGTTCTGTGTCCGGTACGTCATGCTTCCACTCGTGGATGACGACCAGGTCAAATAGCAGCACGTTCGGTCCGAGTCTCGCTGTAAGATCTGCGAGTGCTAATTGATTCGTGCTTAGCAAGGATTTAACGGGGCTAATCGACTCATCCACCGAGTGGAGTTTCTCCTTCTTGAAAAAGGAAAGAAAAGGTAAGTTAAACTAAAATAACCTTAGGTTTTATCTCTTCCTTCTTCTTGGTCTGCTTATCAATGACTGTTGTGCCTGTTGTGAGTACACACTCTGACGAGACTTACTACCCAGCCACACCATCCTTCTGGTTTTCTCCGATCCAAAATCATAGTACAAGCCAGAACATCATGAGCCTGTCAGGTAGTGGAGCTCCTTTCTTAAGGCTACTCGGTCTGAAGTACGGCCGTAATGTTGACCCACCGACTGCGGTGTATATATTCTAGCATCCATCCGAGTGGCGGTATCTATCGGTTTCCCTGAGGCTGCCACCTAATCCATAGTTGGAAACTGGACCTCACGTGGTACGGTGCTCTCACATATAGGTTACAGGGGCCTAATTGAATAACTTGATCCCTTGAACAATTGAAAACTAAATTAAAAGATATCCTCTGCCACCTCAGTCGCATGTGTTTTCTGCGCAGTCCCCGCAGGGTCCGTTGTAACGGCCCAGGGCCCTTCGTAAAAACAGATTTTCCGATTTGACCGTGCCGTCCCACCTACAATTCGGATTGTCCGCAGCAAATACACTCACGGTTTATCTCACGCTTTTCTTTTTCCCTCGTGATCGGCTCTGCAGGAGTCACGGCTTGTCAACCGAGTTGACTCAACCTCTTCAAACCACTCAAACTCCTGCCGCGACGCCGTTTAGGGGCCCGGCACCTCCCCACTTTCGATAACGCCAACGCCAACGCCGCTTCCGTCCATCATTCATGTCCGTCCCGCCGCTATCTCAAATTTCTTGACATCTCCCCATATCGTCGCCTCTCGAGCAGGTTTGGAGGGTGGAAAGAACCGGCGGAAGGCGGTAGCGGCCTCGACCATTCGCAGATAATATGGAGATGGAGGACAGCCATTTGATCGGCGACGATTTGCCGCTTCCACCGACTCGACTTTTTGAACGCCTCAGCCATCTGCCAGGATATACCTGGGATCAGTCGGTTGAGCCCTTTCACTCGACCTACAGTCATTGGCATATATATGGGTTTCGCCATGCGATCGAATCCGACATCTCGACCCCGATCGCAACATCCTCCAACCCGATCTCCTCGGGGCCATCCAGCCTTGCCCGCTACTCCCCACGAACGGAGTTTCGCCCATCCTCGCGCATACCCCGAAGAGCTAGCTTCAGCGAAACCAGTAGCGAAGTGTCGCTTTCCCGAGCTGATCAGGAGCAGATATGGGTCCCCGTTATCGCACGTGTCTCTACGAATGTCATTAGGCTCGAGCGGGAGTTTCACATGATTAGGTCCATCGTGCAATCTTCCGACCCAGATTGTAACCACACCATTAGGCCTATTGACTTGATACGACTGCCCCCTGACCCAGGTGACGTGGGTACACTCTTAGTAGCGATATTCGAGTCTCCTGGTCACGACCGGTTACGAGACCTGGTCACATTTGGTCCTGCCTCCTTTGTCGCCGGGGCCAAGGGCGATAACAATGTCACTCCCAGCGAACAAATCCCTCTTCCTGCCTTCTTGGATTTCGCCATAGGTGCTTGCGACTGCTTGGAAATTCTGCACTATGGGGTAAAAACGGTACATGGGGAGATTCGCGGAGATGCCTTTCACTTCAGCGCCGAGACTGGGGCTGTCAAACTCGCCAACATTGGCAACGGCGCACGATCCTTCGACAACGTTCTGAGCGAGGGCTGGTCCTCTGTATCTCGCGAGCTAGGGGCCAAGTACAAGCTTCAGTTCATCGCCCCAGAACAGACTGGCAGAATGCCCACAGAACCAGACAGTCGCACCGACATCTACGCACTCGGTCTTCTCTTTTGGTCAATGTTGGTAGGGAAGCTGCCCTTTGCAGGCGCTGACCCCGTCGAAGTGGTTCAAAATGTCTTGGGTAAGAGGTTGACTCCCGTCTCAGCGAAGCGACTGGATGTTCCCGATGGTCTATCTGCCGTGGTCCAGAAAATGACACAGAAGGTGGTTCATGAGCGGTACCATACGATATCTTCAGTCAAGAGGGACTTGATGCAGATAGCGCAATTGTTGGGTGACGGTGAAAGCGAAGCCTTGAACAATTTCCAGGTCGCGCAAGGTGACGTGTCTTCCTTTTTCACTCTACCATCTCAAATGTTTGGGCGCCAGAAAGAGTACGACATAATCTTGAACGTGATCCAAAAAATGAATAAGCGCCAAGCATCCGCCTTCGCCAAAGCATTCACCCAAAGCCCCGGAACTGCGCATGCTCGCGCCTCTAACTCGTCAATATCGGAAGGCCGCGTGGATAGCTTTGAGCTTGCATCCGTCTCCAGCGACTCTGGATCACTCCACTTGCCTCCGAGGACAAATTCTAATGCTACCAGTCATCAGCTGTCTCAAGTCAGCACTCATGATGATGGCTCAAACAGTGACGTGACATTTCAAACCTCAAAGCAGGTACAAACGCCAACCAGCCAGGACATGCCATCCCAGACGTCGGCCCCAGCATTCTCTAGCAAAATGAAGAGTCCATCACATTCCCGGTCCTCCTACAACGGGGACCGGGAGAGTCACCTATCTTTTGGCACATCCATTGGCACGAATACAAACAGTCAGCAATCTACTCATAATTTCAGCCAGACTGAGTCTATGGGGTCGCTTTCAAAATCAAAGGCTGGCGCAAAGTATCGTCGAAGCGGGCGATGTGAAGTCATTACGATAAGCGGGGCTGCAGGAATTGGCAAAACAGATCTTTTGAATCGAATACAGCCCGTAATTCGCAAGTCGGGCTATATTGCCATTACGCGCCTGGATCGAGCCAAACGAGTGCCCTTTGAACCATTTGCCAAGATTCTCGCCAGTCTTCTACGCCAAATTTTCTCCGAGCGTGACGTGACGACGGATTACCATGACGGTGTCAGAATGGCCTTGCGGCCACTGTGGCCGACCCTCCACAAAGTCCTCGACCTTCCGGAGCAATTAATGTCTCCAGGGTCAAAATACAGCTCAACTTCGCCGAAACCCTCGATTGTCCAAACCATTGCCAAGTCTGATCGTGCCAAGGGTGAGCGAGCTAAACGGATTCAAATGCCCGGCATGAACAATGGCCAAACGTCTGTCGAATTCTTCTTGTCAAATGCTGCCTCAAACAACATGCGCTTGATGGACATATTTCTCGAGATACTGAGAACACTTTGCCAGTTCAGGTTGATGGTAGTCTGTTTGGATGATCTTGAATATGCAGATGATGAGACCTTGGAACTAGTCTTGAATATCATCCGCGCCAAACTGCCCTGCGTGCTTATCCTCACGAGTCGCAAGGATGAGATAGCTTCGGACAATGTCAGGTCGCTCTTTGAAGCTGAGAATTCAAACATCACGCGGCTCGAACTTGAGCCGCTCAGCGAAGCAGAGATCATGGAGTTTGTGGCTGCAGCAATGCATCAACCGCCAAACCCAACTTTGACACCTCTGTCGGCCGTGGTCCAAGAGAAGAGCCATGGTAACCCTTTCTACGTGAGAGTCATGCTCGAGACGTGCTACAGAAAGAATTGCGTTTGGTATTCATGGAAGGATTCCAAATGGCTTTTCGACCTTGATCGAATTTTCACAGAGTTTGTAGCTCCCGTGTACGGCGAAGGTCTCGGGCTTGGCTTCCTCACTAAGCGACTCCAAGAGATTCCACCCGCGGCTCGGTCTATTTTGGTTTGGGGCGCTCTGTTGGGAAGTCCATTTTCCTTCTCGCTTGTCCAGAGGCTTCTCACCAGTGAATTCCTATTCTCATCCGATGACGACGACGATACAACTGGCGCTGAGGGCGATGAGGAATTCGATTGCACACGTCCTCAGAATGTCACCCTGCTCAGACAATCTGAAGGTGACATCGTCGTTGGGTTGCAGTACTTGGTTCAATCAAACCTTCTTAACCCCGGGAAAACTGATGACGAGTTCAAGTAAGTGCTATATGGAGGATGTCCTATGTTTTTTTCCTCCTCTGCTGACTTTCTTTGCAGATTCGGAAACGATCGGCTTGCGCAGGCTGCACTTTCCCTGAGTGAGAGCCGTAATGTGGAGAAGATGCACTTCATCATCTCACAGGCCTTAATGAAATATTATCACGACCATCGCAGTCGCTACTCGATGGCTCATCACGTGGCGCTCTCATCGCGTATCCTCAAATCTCGAGTCCCTCGGCGCATTGACTACCGCCGGATTCTGTGGGAGGCTGGACAAACTGCGGCCCAGTCGGGTGCTCGACCCAGTGCTCTTTGGTACTTCCGCCACTGCATTGCGCTCCTACAAGACGACCCTTGGGATGACCGCCAAGTTGACGTCTATTATGACGAGACAATGCGCCTCTTCATTGCAACCGCCGAAATGTCCTGGTCTCAGGGCCAGCATGAAGAAGCCCTCGATCTGATCGAGGCAGTGTTTGCTCATGGCAAGGACGCGATGAGCAAGTCGAGAGCTTGGATCATAAGAGCCAAGATTTATGCGCAGGTTGGCGACCATCATCGGTCGATGGATTCCCTACTCACCTGCCTAGATGAACTTGGCGTTCATCTCCGCACGCCTACGTCATTCGAAGATTGCGATACTGCCTACCTAAAACTCAAGGGTTATCTGGAGTCCGCCGACTGGGAAGCTATTGTTCATAAACCTATCAGTAAAGATCCCATTTTGGTGACTATTGGCGCCGTCATGGCTGAGGCGATGGCCGTAACCTATTGGGACGACTCGTTGACATTTTATCGCATGGCCATTGAAATGATGAATATCCACATCTTCCGAGGTGGTTTCACCCAGATATCTATTGGGTGTTCGCATCTTGCGATGA